TAATTTTTAATTAAAAAGAAAGTTTTTAATTAAGTTTCTAAAGAAAATAAAAATTATTTCTAGAGAATAAAATTCAATATTAAATAAATTTAATATTTAATCTATAAAAAAGCTAAAAATATTTTCAAAAAAACTTTTATTAAGATTTTTTATATTATATTTATTATTTTATTTTATTTTATTTTATTAATTATTTTATTTAAATTTAAAAAAGACTAGATTAAAATTAAAACTATAAATATATCTTTTATTAAAATATTATTAAATACTATATTATTTTAAAATAAAACTTTATAATTATGTAGATTGATTACTATTTATTAATTAAATTAATAAAATAGTTAAATTTTAGTTTTTACTGAATAAATATCATGTCAGACCTATTCATCTTCTTATGTAATTCGCATTATATATAACTTCTGTGTAGCTAGTGATTACTTCATAATCAATCAAGCAATCTATCCTTCACATATCATAGTTACTGACTAAATATATCTTAAATAAAAAATAATAATATCTTAAATAAAAAATAATAATAGTAATAATATTAATAATACTAATAGCTTTCAACTTTGTATTTTTCATTGTTAATATAGTAGTATTATATATAATCAACTGATATCTTTTAGCTAATTAATTAAAAGTTTAATCAGTAAAACTAAAAAAGCTTTTTATATAATATTTATAAGGGGTTGAACCCCTAGATTCGCTCTAGCTGGCTGACTCAGCCTAGCCATCGTTTGCACGTGCGCACGTGATCATGCTACGCGAGCTCGCTTAAGCTCGAGTTCTCATCTCATTCTTTTCTTCCCTTTCTCAAGCAATTCGTCCTTGTTATATAGGAGGACTAGCCTTTAGTTCTTAGAGCTTAACTCTTTACAATATTTAATTACATTACTCTATAACTCCAACTAAATTATATTATAGAAAATTTTAGAAGTTTGAAAAAAATTAAAATTTATATATTAATTTCAAAGAAAAAACATATAAAATTAAAAATAAAAATTTTATATAAATATAATTATCAATGAGTTTAATGTGAAAATTTAAAAATTCTAAATAAATAATTTATTTTAATAAATTATATAATAAAAAAGTATAAAATTAATTATATTAAAAAATATCTATAACTTTAATAAGATTAATTTTATAATAAAAATTATTTTAATAGTTAGAGTAATTATTAAAATTAAGAAAAATAAAAAAATATTTTTATATAGTTAGAAAATAGTAAATAATTAATTATAATTAAAATCAATATTATAAATTAAACTCTGTTTTTGATAATTATATTAAAAAATATATATTATAAATTCTTATAATATAAATAATTATCAAAGAATTAAATAATTAATATTAGTAAAAAAAATTTAATTATAAATAAGTTTAATTTAATAAAATTATAAAAAAATAATAAATAAATTTACTTAAAGTTATATAATTAATAAAAAAAAATTATTATTCTAAATAAAATAATCATTATATTATAGTTAAATTTAATAATTTTTATCTAAATTATAATATTTTAATATTATATATATCTTTTTACTTTTTTTATTTATTGTAGTTATTAGATAAAAGCTGTTTTTTATTATTAAAGAAAATATATAATAAAAAATAAAATAAAATATATAATTTAAGATTAATTATATTAATAAAAAGAAATTTTTAGATTAGTTATATAGCAGCTAAATAGAAGATTATAAAAAATATTATTATAAAAAATAAATTTTAAATCATAGATTTAGTATTATATAATTTAGATAAGATTTTTACTTAATTATATATTTAATTTTATATATTTTTCTTCTCAAAATCAGTGTATAAATTTTAATTTTTATAAATATTTAAAACTTTTTAAAATATAACTTAGTTAAAGCTACAAAGCAATATGACTAAATATTATATAAAAATTCTTTATTTAATTTGAAATTATATTAAATAAAATAATAAAAATAATCTATTATATAATGTAATTCAGCAGATAATTGATTATATTAGTTAATTTTATTAATACTTAGTAAACTACACTATCATATAAGTATGAAATATATTAATAAATACTCAAGTGAGTAGAATATCAAATCAATATATTTCAACTAACTAGATTTTAAATTAAATTATCTCAAATATCACAACATTTAATTAAATTAAATTATATTAAATTAAGAATATTTTATTCTTATATGACTAAGAGTATCATAATTATTGCAGTATTGTGAAGCTTATTGATGTGATACAAATCACAAATAACTAAGATTTATGAGATTGAAAAACTATCTATTCAATAGATGTAGCAGATGAAATAATAAGATTCTGAGTTTTATTTCTAGTTAAATTTTATATATATTGAATTTAATATTTAAATCTATTTCACTTTTACTTCTTTATCTTATTTACATTGAATATATTCTAATATTACTTCTTCATAATAGTGATACTGATTATGTTATATTTAGAAATCTTAATAATTTAATCAAAATCTTTTACTAAGCTCTAAGACTAATCTTTTATAAGTTTTTTAATCTTTTTTACTTGCTGCTGCAACTGCCAGAAGTTATTAGATATTTGAAGAACTTAAAATGATGTATTAAATATACTAAATAATAATATTGAAGTGTGAAGCTGAATATCCAATTGCTAAATAATATAATCAGACTGAAATGATATTATTTCAATAATTTTGAAGTTATTTTGAATATTTTAAGCTTTAAAAGCTTTCACATAAATTGTTGAATAAGCTTCTAAGAAATTAATTTTAAAAATAATATTAATTTCAAGCTGCATTCACTATTAGACTAGATTACTATATACTCACTTAAAAATTGAAAAAATGCTCATATCTAATAACTGCAAAAGATGTGATAAATGAAAAAAAATACAAAGACAAATAATTATATTATTGTTGTAGATTTGATCAAATTTCAAGATAAGATGACTATTGTATCTGTTCAGAATAAGAAGAATAGAACTATCAATTTGACATGACTTTACTTCTGAAATAAATATCTGTGTAAATCATTTAAGATTTATTTCATCAGTAATTTAGTTATTAAAACTAATACAAGTTTTCAGCTATTTGAAAGATCTTCAAACCAGCCTTCCTGCAGATTCTGATCTTTGAGAATGATGTATGAGAATAGAGCTCATTCTGATGAATTGACTGACTCAATTACAGTTACTCATTTTCAATTTCCAGGCTGTAGAAGCTTTGCCTGGCTATAGCACTCACTACTAGTAATAATCTTAGTAGTAGCACAGAGTTTCATTGCAAAGTCAGTCTTATCAACATTGTATATTTTCTCTGATATAATCTTATACTTAGCAATTGCATTCTCCAAGATCTTAAATCAAGTCTAAATAATCTTTATATTCTCACATTTGACCTGGTCATGATTATAGTGTCTGAAGTAACAGGTCTGAAGCTCAGGACAGTGTGCCACTAGATTTGACACTCAGTTCTTGCCAACGCAGGGGGGGTTAGTGGTGGAGGTGGTGGAAGTCCATATAGTAAGAAGATAATTAGCTGTATCCTCAACAAATGCTGACTGTGGGGGAAATCCTCATTTCACTTGATCCAGCACCTATTCAACTAGTCTATTCTCTTCAGCTTGGGTTAATTTGATTGAATTTGCACATAGATTCATGTGAGCAGTCTGGTCATTGAGTTGATAACTTAGTGTAGATAATAACACATCAAATACATGTGCAGCTTCACAGATTGGGGAGATTTCTTGCTTTTTTAAAGCATTTATTGTGAGTTCAATCCTCCCATCTCTTTCAAGAGAATTTAAAGTGTTTTTATTGCAAATTGGTGGCATAATTGTGCATTGAAATGGATGAGTAGTTAAATGAGAAGATATTTTTGAATTGATGTTCCGCTCACTTGGGAATTACGTTAGTTACTTTCTGATGCGCTCAGAAGAATGTCAACATAATCACTGACATCTGTTGGCAGGGAGGTCTTATGGTGGGAGGACATGCACATACACAGGTACTTAGGTAGAGTACAGGAATGTACAATAGGGTGCAGGCCACATATATTCCTGGTCATGACAGCAAATAGCGTACAAAGTTCCCCAAATGTAAAACCCATCACGGGAAAAAAAGTACATGTAAAAAGGCATCTGAAAAGAAAAATTCTATTATTGTTATCTCCGTTGTTTCGCAAGAATCCCCGTCCGGTCCGTAACAGTGGTGGCATTGATGATCTCGTCAAAAGCCTTGTCTTCGTTACTGTCATCGTCGTCCTTGTCGTCATCGTTAGTACGGTCATCATCATCATCATCATATAGACGCCGTGTTGGGCCCGCGTCTATTTCCGCAACTAGCCGTGTAGTTTTCTCAATCTGCGGCTTCGAACCATCCTCATCTGTCATAATATTCGTAAACGGCTTCGAGTTCAGCACTCTCCGCCGTAACTCAGCCATTTCTTCCTCATCGTCTGATTCCTCAGGTAGCATGTATGGGTTCCTCGTAGAATTCCTGGCTTCCTCTTCCCCTTCCCCATCTTCTTCTCCAGAACCCTCACCATCCTCCTCCTCCGAGTCAGGCATATCCCTCCTATTTGTATTCCCAACAGACCACATATCTTCCTTTCCCCCCTCTGCCCGGTTTGCAGAATACTCCCTCTCAATCTTCTCCAGCCAAAGTTCTTGCGCATTTTTCACATCCTCCTCCGTTTTACACGCAGCATACCTTTTAAACAGCTGCGAGTTGATTTCCAAAAACGCTTTCCCATACGAAAATTTCTTTAGAACCTCCGCAGCCCAATCGTCATGACCACATATAGCGTAGGCGGCCGCCAATGCTTCGGCGCAGTTTAGCCTCCACGGACGTCCGTAGTTGACTGAATTTGCAGCGACGAGGTATGGCACTAGCAAAATTGTAAGGAAAAAAAAAATTACAGCTAAAGCAAATTGCACCACGGGAAGCAGACGGAGACAGAAACCACTCACACAATCTCTCGCATTTACCGCCGATTTTCGACCAGGGGACTTCCTGCGTCCTCCCCCACGAGCACTCCACCACAGCAGCACCATATTGTTCCATCAACTCGTTATCGGCAGGGGAAAGTGTGCATTTCGCATTCGGCCTAGCAGTTGAAACAAAGACATACAGTCAGCGAAACCAATCATGAAAAATATATAGGGACATTAAATATAAAACAGCAAGAACGGTGGTAGATATTATAAACTCACGATATCACCACACCTGCAAATTTCTGCCCAATCTGAAGCTCGCGCATAACGCCATGGTACATCAACTTCTTCCCGGAACACCTCTTTGGATCACAATGGCCTAGGTCCCAGCAGGCAGCCTTAAATGGGAATTTCTTGGGCGCGTCCGGGTCGTTGTAGTCACCAGCAGCGGGATCCCGTGAGAATCGTTGGCGAGGCTGTGAGTAGGTATTACTTTTCCCTCTTTTCCCAAAATTGTCTTTTTTATGTCGAACCATTCTTTGTATGAGGGGGTTTTAGTTGGGAGATATAGATATGGAGCTATTTGCAGTTGCAGGAATGACAGCTTCGCAGCTCCAATAAACAGAGAACAATTGAGTTATGAATTCGTAAAACCCCGTTAAGTGGGCGAATTGTGGGAATAACTTAATTCCGTGTATCATGACGTCACTACCACGAGAGCACAGTGTAAACAGTGTAGAAACGCTTTAAAATATGGGTGGGGATGTAGTTGAAGAGCAAACTGATCATCTATTCAATCTAATGGAGTTTGTTTGTCTGTAACATCTAACAGGTCAATGTCCCGTTTATATTTACGTATACTGCTCCGTATCCTCGTACTCAATCACTATTTTTGCCTACCTAGCATACTTCGTGAAGATAGATTTTGATGCTTCAAATCGTATATTCGGCTGTCAATAATATCAAAATATCTGCGTCAGACTTATTGAGATTTGCAATCAGTTGGGTTGACAGTAGTGAAAAATTTTTGTACATGGCATTAGAATAAAAACTTGATTTTCTTTTATATTAATTTTAATTAATTATTTTACTTATTTATTCTTTCTTTATTTCTTTCTTTTAATTTTATTTTTTTTAATTTTTTTTTCCCCCTGTGTTTGGGGAAAGCGCCAATGACAGATATTTTAACTAGCAAAAGGATGTCATGAAGGGAATCTGCAATAACTTTAAAAATTAGAATCGAGATGGGAGAACTCACAGCTGCAGTAGCATGTACTTCAGCAATATCATGGTGGTACGTATCATCACTTCTACTCCATAGACTCCAAAGGCTCTGGCTGAGTAGGATGAATGGAGAAATCTCCGTGCTGTATCAGTTCAGTTGATTCTGAAAATCATAATGCCCATCTCACCATACTTGACATCATCTCTCTATGTGAGACGGTGAGGCCACTAATAAATCAATCCATACTGAGGTCCGCGTGGTAACTCTGAAGCACCACCTGACGCCATCCACCTCACATAGTTTTGTTCCTTCTCCCAGCTCAACACTTAAATGTCACCGGATAGATGGTGCTGAATTCAAAGCATATTGATATTCATATCCCTCGTACTTATGCTCTGCGGATTCGCAGCTTTGCATATGATTTTGCTCCACTTTCTCAGTACAAAGGATTAAAAGTGTAACTCGAGGTTTTGCACCTGGTTCTCCGGAGCTTTGTTGGACGTGCCAGCTCCAAAACTAGGGAAATCGTGCCACACATCCATTAACACACATACCCTTCCACATCCTGAACGAATTGAGTTGATAGCCTAAACGACGGTCTTAAATGCACTAACGCAACCACGACGAATCACTTTCCCCCACTGACGCATCGAGCAATCCCGAGAATGTGTCCCATATTCAGGTAGTGTTTGGCAAGACAGAAACATTGGTTCTTCAAAGAATTCGTTGGGGAATCATCTGAAGACATCCAAGAATAACCTCTAAAGGAAGCAGTCCGAATGGTATGAGGTTTTCTCAGCGTCGATACCACGTTGCTGTGATTCAGACATTCCTTGCCATATTCTCAGAATATCTTATTCAAGGTATGTAACTTTTGAAACATGATATAAAAATATACTCCTCAAGGTGTGAGCTAATTTAAAGTACCGTATAAGTTTAATTTTAAGCCATTCGTTAAACCAATCTTGACATTTCAAGCGTGCCGCATTGCTTCGCCTATCTTAGAGTTAGTTTGAGACCTGGTAATATAGTAAGCAACTAGCACAACAACTTAAATTTAAAAGGAACCCAATTGTCAAGAGCTCTACACTATCGTTTCGGGTAGCCCTCCGTGAAGAAGTCAATTCAGAATAGAGAACTGTTGATAGCTTTCTCGAACACATCCTTGAAGACTACTAGTAACTAAGTAACTAAACTAAGGATCGGATGGTGGATTGCGATCCAAAGAAACTCCACCTGGCATCGGTTAACTGATAACCTTCCAATCAATGCGGGGGTCACTTTTCCATGAAACGCCTGAGCCCATGTCTTGACGAAGATGATATCATGGATTACTGAAGCGGTTGCTTACTGTGGGAATAGGGATGAAGCACATAAAACGGTTATTTCCGGTACATCGGACTGTTTTCGCATAGATATATGTTGGGAGTGTTAAATGGCGTCTGCAAGAAGTGTATTGACCAAGTGCTCAGGATTATTTGGAAACTTCCCATCCAAGAGAAACGATGTCATTCGGTGCAAGGGATCTGTTTCTCCATAATTCATTAAAAAACAACTGGAAGCGAGAAACTCAAGATTGGCAACAAATAAGTTCTTCCCACAAGGTCAGGGGTAGTGAATAAGAATAGAACGAAACTAGAAGCCCTCTTTCCTGGCTTCTGATGTCCAGTTTTCGATTCTATCATCAAAGCCTGGAATGCATAAATCCCCATAGGATTTAGATATATTCGGTAGCGATTCTGCAGTATTTAACAAGCGAAGTGGTATTAAAGCATGGAACAACAAATGTCACTTTATTTTCGGTCGCTGTAGAAATTGTCGACTGACGACAAGCTTTTGAGACCAAGTTTGAGGTTATAAAATACAGCGTTTCCAAACGAAAAATTTGCTGCTATGGAGAAATGGCAGCCAACTCCTTAGGAATCATATGAGAGCTTGAGGCTATAACCCTAGAATATAGTTGTCACAGTTTTAGTCGAATAGTAGGACGGTGCTTCAAGATCAAGCTGTGAAGAAGGTAGAATAACCCGTTGCAAATAAAAGTGGAATAGGTAGGCTTTTGCAGGAAGGGAATGGCCCATATAGTTGACAAGTGGAGTTGTTATTTACACACAACTGATGATGGATGGATCTAGACTAGACATCCAGTATATTACATGCTCAGTATAGATGCAGCTTGCAATGCATTGATAGATTGATATATTTAACATGTTGATGTTGATGTTGAAGTTGATTGATAAAATATTTTATACAAAGAAGTTCATTGTAGATGATGTTAGTTAGTGACTGCTTTGAGTGAGGCTCACCACGTGGATTCGATGACCTCAAAACTGGTTGACGAAGCCCAAATTCACCACCATTCATGAATATCATCTCACACTGGCATTTTCATCATCCTTATCACGACACAGCAGCTGCCACATTGCATCAGCCCATTGTGGAAGCTTGCTTTTTTTATTCTGCACCTTTTAATTTCCATTTTTAAGTTGGTTTGCTCATCCATCCGCCAAACTGGAGGCAACATCGGCACGGATGGCAGCGCGGGACCGGTTTGGTGTCTATGCTGAACCCGTGCAGTCCACTCTACAACGCTACATCCGTAGGTTTTCTCCGACTTCTCATTATCCTAGAATCACTTTTATGCATTCACGTGGATTTGTTTGACAAAGCTGTTTCGTAGACAACGCTTGCGACCCACAAAACTTCGAACCCAATCTCGCCTTGAACCTGGAGGTAGCGGATCTAATTAACTCCAAAAAGGGCAATGCGTGAGTCAATATTCCGGCCTTTAAACCGACACTTCTACGGTGCTGATAATTGGGAAGCCCTCGAGAAGCTGCTATTAGCATAGTACACCTCATAAATTCTCGGAATGCAAATGTTGCCCTGCTCGCCCTTGCAGTATGTCCCGCAGGTTTTCGGATCACTTGAGTGTGTTGGATACTGACAATGGCGTGGCATTAGCTTCTTGATATATGTGTGAAAAACTGCGGATATCCGTTCCATCTCCAAATAAGCACCAAGGAGTTTCTCAATGAATTGGTTCGAAGATTTCCGGAACGACCCCCCATCCGACCCTCGAGGGTACAGCATCGAATTCTAGAGTCGATCGAAGAATGGCGGCAGACAATATGTCAGACTTCCCGATACAAGGACGATTTGGGCTTCATCAGAGATATGCACCGCCTGCTCCTTTACAAGGGCTACATGTTTCCGGAGGTCCGCCGCGAAGATGCCGCAGTTTTGAACCCGAGTGATGTAGGTTTACTTAAAAAATATCTGTTGCGTTAGGGGAATATTGACCATATGGTTAGAATCTTCAATCTGCAGAAGAAATGGAAGAAGAGGAACGGGCCGCCCAATCAGCGAAACTCCAAGAACTCATTCGAAGAGGGAGCCCTGAAGATCTTCAGGAGGCCAACAGGTTGATGAAAGTGATGGCAGGCTATGACACGAAACATAAAACGGATTATAGGGCAAAGGCCGCTGAAGAGGTTGCCAAGGTCCAACAAAAGGCAAAGATTCTGGAGGAAATGCTCCAGAGGTACAAGCCTGGTGATAAAATAAATGAAGGGGACGTGTTTGAGGTACGATATACCTCGAATCGAACAAGTGAGATTGAACTTAATGGAGAACTTCAGGAACTCGCCAACGCACTACAAAGCGCCCATCCGAAAATCCAAAAAATGTGCGAGGAGGAATCAGACGACTCAGAAGCTGTTGCTAAACTTCTTGAAATCAACGATAGCATACATCGGACAATCCAACGCTATAAACTGGTGAAGTCAGGTGATCTAGAAGCTGCAGCCAAGATTCCCAAGGGGACGCTGGGGACAAGCACAGGCGTCAAGAAGACTGCCGATAATGAATTTTCTTTAATCGATTTTAGCGCCGATGCAGAACCCAGTTCCAATGGTAGTACAATCGCTAGTACATCTCAGCCCCAAGCTCCCAAGTCTTCAGAGGGGGACCTTCTTGGTCTTTCGTTTCAAGATAATTCACAACCAGAGCATGGTGGCATATCCCTAGGATACGGCTTTAATTCGAGTAAGTGAGCCAGCCCATCTATGTAGTGTTTGTCAAGCTAACATTTTTGGCAGGCCCTTTGGCGTTCCCCGGATTTTCGCCCTCATCACAACCTTCCGGAAACCTGTTTAACGACCCCAACCCCTCCGCCACTGCTGTCTCAGTATCAAACACACAGTCCCCTGCACCTCTTCTAACTTCAATACAGCAACAAATAGCCACCCCTCCTCCAGCAGACCCATTTACATCTCTAGTCTCGGCACGTTCCCAGACTTCATCGCCTTTCCACCAACTTCAAAGCTTTATGGGAACTAGTCACTCACCATCAGCAGCCATCCTCGACCTGGCTCAACCTGTGTCTCAACCAGCTGCCCAGACGACAGCGTCGACATCCACTGCAGGGGATGATGAATGGACCTTTGCCTCGGCCCTTCCAGAGGATAGCGCACCTAGTACAAGCAAGGTACAAGTCCTGAAATCATCTATCGGAATTGATTTCATCTCAAGTCGGAATGCAGGGGAGCAGAAGATTCATGTGGTAGTCTCCTTTTCAAGTAACACCAGCCAACCCATTTCTGAGATCCACTTCCAAGTCGCAATTGAGAAGGTGAATTGCGCTTCCCGCGTCCCTCCCTTTCCCTTCCTCCATGTCCCCATTCCTTTTCTCCCGCTTTTGTCATATTAGAGTTTGTCGACATGCAGAGCCGCGTGAACTAATGTTATCATCTACTTGACAGGCATATACCTTGCAACTTACACCACAGTCTGGACGTCAACTAGCGCCATTACAGCAGAATGGAGTACGTCTTGAAATGCACTTGGACGGCATACCCCCCGGGAGCGGTAACTCGGTTAAGTTGAGATATAAGGTTTCTTATAAATTGGGAGCGGAGTTAAAAGAAGAGCAGGGGCGGGTACCTCCTTTAGGCATAGCTTGATTCTTTTTGTGGGCCGTTACCTTCTTTACACCAACTTCGGTGAGAGGGAAGGGAGCAGGGGAAGGTGGAAGAAAAGCGAAATAGATAGCAAGGGAATCAGAATCTAAAGCCCGGGTTAATGTATAGCTAGCTCGAGCTGGGTAGTGTAGCTCTAAGTTATAATTCCAGGTGCCATTCAAAGTTCGTCGTTTTAGTCTTCACTAATCTTCCTTTTTTAAACAACAGTTGTTAAATTCTCTCTCTTGTGGTAACTTCCCGTGTTTCCTTGGGCTGACTGTCCTTTGATTCCTCATCAAAAATTCTATTATCCCCGAGCATATTAACTAATTGTATATGCCTGTGCGAACGGAGACTATCAAACAATTGGGAAACTCTATGCTATAGACCGTGCACTTTCGGATGTCGATCCCTCCACCTCCAGAGCAGATCCCGAACGCCTTAAGACCGTGTCCCATATTAACGACGATGACGTCGCGAGCGGCTCCTGCACAATAATGCGTACCCCCATGAACCAAGTGGTATTCGAGAACAAGAGAACGTGCGAAAATCGGTGTACATAAGGATAGTATCGATTTTTTTTTTTTTTTTTTTTGGGGGGGGTGGGGGGTTAATTTTCCCTCATCCCCTAAAACCTTGCGTTACGTGTGGCTGCTAAGAACAGGCATTGTCCCCTGCTAACTCCTGTGCAGTGTATAAACTGATCACAGAGATATCAGTTCTCCACAAACCACATGCGAAGCGTAACGATGAGAGCTCTTGTTGCCAGTGTTCAACATTCCCGTGTATGCACCGTTCGTGCTTAAGCGCTGCAGCGTACGCTGTCATATTTGCTAGAGTATAGTTAAAAATGATGCCGACCGTTTAACTGCCGAAAAATTGAGGTATTGCTATCTTAAGTCACTGTGATACGGCGTCTGATTTGTTTCAAAGCATGAATCTGGACCTCTCCATGTGCCTCGTGAAGTAAAAGAACGTGGTGATACATCAGAACAGAAACGATTTCGTGTGGGTGATGATTTTCCGAGGTCCTCCGGCCGGCCCGTCTTTCTCCACTTGTTGACCGGCACAAGGCGCATAGAACTGGTTAGTCGACGGAAGTCCAAAATAAAAAAAAAAATAAAATAAAAGATAACAGACCAAAGGAGAAAACAAAAATAATCACGGAGTTAACCCCACTAAAAAGATGCGGCTCCAAAGCTGGAACAATATTTTCCAATTTTAATTTCCTAGACCGGTTCGGTACGCATGGTAGCCATTATCAACTTAATGTCCATACATACATACATACATACATACATACATACATACATACATACATACATACAAACATACATACATACATACATACATTAGGCGCAACTTTCCATCCAACATAATGTTATCGCTGATCAGGGATGTATGAATAATTCTAGCTTGATCTTTTGTCTAGATTATTTGGTAGTAGTTCTTGCACTGGAAACTTGAATGAGAAAGCAACAAGTCCCCATTTAATTAGAGAAAGCTTCAAATTTTTGGCTTGACTGAACTGGCCCCATAACAGAGTTAATTAGTTAACTAAACTTAGGGTGGTTAGTGTATGCTAACTAACTAGGTGACTAACTATGTTTTTCATTTCGCCAAACTCTGTTTATTTTTGGCTTTATAGACAAACTTTGAATTCCAAAAGCAAAAAGGAAAAACTTAGAGAGGCCCCGAGAAACCCACGTACAGAAAATTGAAACATGTGAAGAATTGAATAGCAACTAACTGGGTGGGAGTGCCAAATGCTAGACCGTTGGACATAATAACTATTCCACTGTGGCAAATACTTCAAAAGTAAAAGGTTTGATTGTTGCAGAGTAGGCCACGCTACGAAGGCCGGATTATGCCCTGTATCTGCAGTTAGATTGTTGGTACCTGCAGACAACAACTGCCAAGTAATTTATAAATTGAAGTATTCCGCTGTTGGGCAGTGTGAAGGAGCAATCCTAGCGTGCTCTTCGCAAACACCCTTTCTGCTTGGATTGTTTTCCCCCGCTGATTCCTCTGTAGATTGGGCGGGCAGTAGCTGACACACACACTGCCCAGCCACTGACTCATGTAAGGAGCATGCATGATCCAATGGGTATATATGATCAAGAAGATTCGATGCTTGAAGGGAGTAGTAATCTCAGGCTTCTTTGCCATTTCCCCGCACGTGCTGTGGAAGCACATGCAGTTGCCGCATTGCTGAATTTCCCAAGGAAGAAAGGAAGGAGACAAGACTCCACACAAACGGGTGAACTTAATTGAGCGGTTTTACATAGTCGCGCTCCGCCCAACGCGTATCTTAAGTAACTGTGGTTGGTAACAAGCCCAGCTCTAATCTCGCCGTCAAAAGATCCCATCCACATCGCACTATTACTATTGTCAAGGCGTTTATTGGGGAGGAGTGGTAATACCAATAAGGTCAATGCTTTTCCGATCCCGAGTTCGAGCAGACATCCACCGAAATATAACCCCGCTTTTCCAGCCCGTATAGGAAAGGAAAAAAGCAAAGTGAATATTCTGAGCCAGGCCAGGATTACCCGGTTGGGAGTAGCCACTTTGAAGATCAAGGTTAAAACCAAGTATTCAGGGTCCAGGGAATCCAACGATCCACATGCAAATGCAATTATTATTAGCTTTCTAGTTGGTTTAGCTTAGGTCTGTAGGCGTAGAAGGGAAGAAAAAAAAAGAAAAAAAAAAAAGAAAAAAAGAAAAAAAGAAAAAAAAGAAAAAGAAAAAGAGAAAAGAAAAGAAAAGAAAAAAAAGAAAAAAGAAAAAGTGCAACGGGTCTAAACCTTGGGAGAGACGCCGGAAAGAGAAGGTTATTTATCATTGGATAAAAAGTTGTAAGGTTCTCGACGCCTGTTTTCAATTTTGGTATTTTATCTTATTTCTCGCCTAAATGCGGAAGTAGGTCTCCTGGAAAAGAATTCTCCGTTAGGTTTTGTAGCTTTTGATTTTGGACGTTTGGACAGCCGACCATCAGGAAATGAAGCGCTATTGTACGGAGCAAACCGTGGTGGATACCCTAGGTGTACGGAGTCGATGAGAGCCTAATAGGGACAAGTCAAAACGAGGGTGTCCTACAGAGTAACTAAGGTAGGTTAAGCGGTTTCCTAGGTACCGACCCTTAGGCAGGTACCTTAGTACCTTAGTTTGGGATGCTGAGGAATCTAAACACTGCTTCAGAAGTTAGAACACATGGAGTAAAGCAAGCAGCAAGCACTAGGAGGGTGTGTGAGCGTGGCTGCGCGAGGCTTCTGCCGGGCAAGCAATTGGCGTCAGTGGCCTGACCCCCCCCCAAGTGATCAGCCACTAGGTGGAGGAACAGATCGAGCTAATTCCCAAGCGGCATAGCCCACTGTACCAAAGCCTTGACGTTGAGCCCAGACCACCCAAATTACCCGAGCTGCGCCTAGCCTATATTAGGCCTAGCTTAGCCCGAGCTTAAGTCTAAGCGAGGGTCGCGAGGCTCAATCAGGAAACTTTGACCTCAACCCTTGGACCACCTGCGGACGGCTGCCAACTCCAAGAATAATCAATACGGGCTGGACAACGGACTCTGTATTGGCCGACTTTCTGCCTGCGCCTAGGCAACCAGGTAGGTATACGGAGTACAACAACCGTTTCAATGTCCAGTAGCTATCCAATAACTCTTGGAACAGAGACACTCTCGTTCTGGTCTCAGATTCTGTGCAGCTAGGAATATGTTCATTCTCCCGGCTTCTGACTGGCTGGATCCAACTATCAGAGCTCAGTTGGCAGGACAGGGGCCAAGGACAGGGGCCAGGACAGGCCCTGCAGGGTAAAAGATGGAAAAGAAAAGAAGCTAAACTAAACGAAACGACACGAAAAGAAAAGAAGAAGAAAAACCGAAAAACCGAAAAAAAAAAAAAAAAAAAAACCTCCCCCTCGTATAATGTACCATTCCTGTCTGAATGGGACCATATGGTGGCGCAAGTAACAAACGGAGTGTGGTCGTCCAGAGCTGGTGCTGGGATTCCCCTGCCCATGGCCGGTTTTTCAGGGCCTAAATTGTACTGGTTTTGCAAAGCCCCCCCGGCCTCCCTTGGTCCCCAAGATATCGTCCTTAATTCCGACGATTGGAATGGCAAAGGACATTTGGACAATTGAACAATTGAGGTTTTGGGGAGATTGGACAGTTGGATGATGATGTTGGTACTCGGCAGGCTCCGTACCTAGGTTGAAGGTCATGCCACCACATCGTTTAAAACATAGTGACAGAACGTCTTTTTATATCTTGGAGCCCTTCCTAGAGTTATTATGGTTTGTAGTTGCATGACCAACCCCCCCCAAATCATCTATATCTTTTTTTTCTTTTTCTTTCTCTCTTTCTTTCTTTTTTTTGTTATTTATTTTTTTTAATTTTAATTTACCCTTCTTCAATCGCGATTTACTACGATTTACCTAGTCGACAGAGAAACATCTTGCGCACGGGGAAAAGGAATTCAAGGTGTTCTATCTTCCACAGTGAACCCCCTCCTCCCAACCCCCTTTCCCCTTTACCTACCCCCCCCCCCCCCTCCTCTCCCGTAAGTCAACGCAATCTGGGCCCTTGCATACGTTCCGCAGCAAGCTTTCACCCTTGTTGCATAGAATTTTGGTATGTCCTCGGCCGGGTCCGAAGTTCCATTACCGCATTACCTCAGTACCTCATTACCGCATTACCGCATTACCGCATTACCGCATTACCACATTACCACATTACCACATTACCACACGATACCTGCAAACTGCTTTGGAGTATACAGAGTACCTGGGTGATGATATAGTTGTCAGAGCACAAAGCGTTTCTCTTCCCTGCTAAACGGAGGGGCGGTACTTGCTTTTTTTTTTTCCCCGCCGTAGTGAGGCACCGCGCCAACCAAGCCGCCGCAACAGGCCCATTTCGGTCTAGGTAGAAGCTCCCCTGCGAACCGTGGTTACCCAGCAAAGTCTAAGAGTTGGTCTCTCACTAGCGAAATCCATTTTCGGGGGCGCGACCTTTCTGTTATTCCCCGGGCCCTTTCCTCGACGGAACCTGAACCAGCCTTCCAAGGTTTGTTGTTGGCGGTGTCTTTCTTCTTCAAGTTCGACCTTTCCCCACTCCCCACTCCACTCAACAACCTTGTACTCTTGCACTCTTGCACTTTTGCACTCTTGTACTTTGGCACTCTTGCACTCTTGCACTCTTGTACTCTTGTACTCTTGCACTCTTGCACTCTTGCACTCTTGCACTCTTGCACTTTTGTGCCGTTGCACCGCTCCTTCCGCTCCTCCTCCCCCAATACATACATAGCTCTTTCCGCCCCTCGCCTTCGTCATAATAACCCGTCGTTATCTCTCTATCAGATTTCGCAGCGGATCTCCCGAGTCCACAGTGGAGCTTTTTTTGCGAGTGGGACAGATCGTTCTTCAGAAACCCTTCCATATATGATATGACATTCGGAATACGGGCTCCACCTCTTTAAATTACTGTTCGCGCCTTCCCCGCCGTCTCTTTTTACATCGATCTATATTCTTAGCAAAAATATTCCTGCACCTCACCTCCTCCTCTCTCATTTTGGTTCCCCAACTGCGTGCGCTACGTGCCATTGCTCGTTTTCTCAAATCCAAATAGAGAGAGCCTGGCTCTTTAAATCATCCCTTTGCGCTACTCCTATGCTGCTGGCATTTTATTCTTCCGTCGTTGAATAAACAAACAAACAAACAGCAACAACAGCACACAGCAACACAACAACACAACAGCACACACACCAAAAAAAAAAAAAAAAATTGAAAAAATTAAAAAA